TATCTCGTATGCTAGATCGATTATTTGAATACTATATGAAAGCCTTGGTGATAATAAACAAGATACTTGAAAATATCTAAAGGAGATAATGAAAAAGGTCAAAAGAATATATTTGACTAAAAAAAATTCTCACTAAAATTGTAGAAGAATTTTCTGATGGTTTTTGTTATAAGATTTTTCTGGCCTTTGCAAAACATTTCCAATCAAATTCTTTCATACATTTTATAAAAAAAATTATTAAACATAAATTTAATGAAAAACGTGTTAATGATATAGATAAAAGTGTTTTTGTTAAATATATATCCGTTAAAATATGTCTTTGAGATGAATGATAACGTTATTATTTTTTTATATATCCTTTGATGAAAATTTATCAATAAGAAAAAAACATTATCAAAAACATGTTGAAATATATTTATACAAAATAATTTTTTTTATGACGAAAATATTTAATATTGATACAAGAATAAATAGTAAAAACATTACTGTTATTGTATCAATTATATTAACATGATTTTCGTTTTCTTGACATGAACTATATTTATCAACTACTGATAGAAAAAAATGATGAATAAATATGTTGGAGTTACAATGATTAGAATAATTCTATGAGAAAACTTTAATGTATATTGTAATATATGTTTTTAAAAAAATTAACAGCAAAAAAAAAAAAAGAAACGTTCTGCTATAAATATAAACATCATCCTTATATACTGGTATATTCAATTTCTTATTTTGTTCCTATTAAAAATGTTTGCTGATTTTAAACCAGTCATTCTGTATAAAAAAATGAATGAATTTAAATATGTTTCACCTATAAAATGTATCTATTTTAACCTACTTCTACTGAGTGGCTGCAGAGATGGAATCTAGATCAACACAGATTTTAGACCATTCAATTTGGGCTGATCTAATCAGATTGGTACTGATATCAGTTGTCAAAAATCTGCTTTTGTTCTACCTCTGATCTGAGATGAAGCAATTTTAGGCAAAGAATTAATCGCATTCCCGTACATTCTTCTTTTATTTAAATATTTGACTAAATTAAATGCCTGTTATTCATATTAGATAATCTCTCTCTTAATAATCTTCATAGACGTTTTTCTTAATTAATAAATTTTATTGATGTTACAGAAAAGATTTTGGGCAATTCTAGCTGTACGATGAACTTTGATGACAAGATACTGAAACAAAATTGTTTTTCAACCAAAAGATAAGAGAAATACTCTTTAAAAAAATCCAAACTTTTTATATAAAAGAACTGCACCAAATGTCGATCCTTACATCTCTTTAATAAATAGATTCTGAAAAGAATATTTTTTTCAATTAGTTGAAAAGAAATGTTCTCCTCTTTCAAACAGTGTATAATTTATATTCGTCACACATTCATAAATGACATGAGATGAGAAAAAAAAAGAAACATCCATGCACAAGTCTCTCTCTTTCTTTGTCGTTCTGTTTCTTTTACGAATATATGATCAACTCATATCATATATTGCTTGAAAGAGAAGAAATAGCTTTATCTTTTGATAAAAAAAATTTCTTTCAGCATTTTTCTATTAAAGAGAAACAACAATCGACATTCTGTGCAATTACTTTTGTATCGTATGCTATTTATATGATATCTTCAATTCTACCTTGTTCTAATAGTTCTACTGGTATTTTAAAAAAAAACACGTTATGAAAAAAAAGACAACATTTAAATTCTGTTCTTTTTGGTGTTTAATTAGATGAAATAATAATTTTAATATACCGAAGTAAACTAAACAATTACATGTCACTTCAAGATACTTCTCATGAAAATTTCACAATGGGTATGGGTGGGGTGTGGGCGATGTTCTCGTTTCCTTCACACTCACACCCTATTTATCAACCAATGAACCTTGGAAAGAAGATCTTTTATATCGTTCGCCAACTAGACATTCGCCAGTGGTACATGTCCTGGGATGAATTGACGAAAGTTTAACAGACCTTCGCCAATTGTCATAAAACAGTATAAGTGTAGTTGACACAAATCTCTGTATTCAATTTTAAAGTTACAGTCAAATTTGGAATAGTTCGGCTGACTTTCGCCAATATTGACGAAGAGCACGTAATCCATTTCCTCATCAACCTCATTCCTTTACGGATAGTTGTTTATGTTCATTTAAGTAGGTGTACATCAATTGATTATTGTAGTAACATAATGCCCTTTCGGAGTATGATTTTATTTTAATGTTTCTTCAGTACTATTTATTACAATGGGACTTTAAATATCTATGTCTAAACAGATAAATACTTAATAGGTAGAGCTTTCTTCTACTTGTATACTGTATATTTGTATGTGATGAGATAAATGTATGTCTGGTGTCTTAATAAAAGGAGCTCGTGTCTGAAACTTTCGATTCTAGAGTAACATGTTCTTTTGAATTTAAAAGAAAACTTTCTTCTTTATTCTGTCAATAGTTCAGAACTAAGTCAATGATCTGACTATGTACCAACGGGAAGAATCTTTTTGTGAAATTACATAACATTTCATCAGTTTAATAATATGAAACATGAGAATATTCAACAAAACTTTTTTGTTATTTATAGTTTTTTGTAATAACAACAA